TGGGGGCCTTCGGGAGCGGGGGGCAGGAGCCGGGAGCCCACAACCCCCTGTTGTGCTCTACCTCCTCATTACCTCGTGCTAATCTTCTCCCTCTCCTTTCCACAGCTGGGAGACCGAGGAGCCACGCTGGGAGGACCCTCTCCGCAGGATGTTCTCTCCACCAAAGAACTCCCTGTAACAGGCGATGATGACAATCCTGGCAGGACCTTGGAAAGCACTAACATTTCAGTAGCCCAGCACCCGTGGGTGGCCGCTTATCCCTCCTTCTCCACGCCCCGCCCTCCCATCGCTCACCGTGATGGTGTATTAACCAAGAAGAGCCCTGCTTCTTTTCTCCTCACCCCTCAACTTTCGGCAGCTCTGGGATTTGTATGGCAGCAGCGTAACCGTGGAGAGGCCGGGGTATCACAAACTTATGGATTTTGATAAGAGAGGAGGGAAAGGGGAGCTGGAGGAAGGTAAAAGGATGTCCAAGACAGGTGGAGGAAGGAGCAGTCATGGAAGCCGGAGTGCTGGAACCAACTCGGGAGTCTTAATGGTGGGTCCCAACTTCCGGGTCGGCAAGAAGATTGGATGCGGCAATTTCGGGGAGCTCCGTCTAGGTGAGAAGGGTCGTCTTCTGTCTTCACTGTAACTACTTCTTGTGCAGGGATTGCCCTGGCATCCACCTCCTGCAGCAGGAGCAGCTGGCACATGCCCGTGACTGTCAACACCAGGGGTGTTGACCGGCCATACAGTGTTGAAGCATTGCATGTTGCAGGTAGCCCTTGCTTCCTTCGCAGTTTCCTTTTCCTCAGCCCCTTCACACTGTACTTGATCTTTCGAAGCCCATCACAGCTGACGGACGGGTTGCAGAGGTGTTTCCCATCTCCTCCCCATGCCTATCGCTCTTCGGGTTTGTCAGGGAGAGCGTTACAGTTCAGTCCTGTCTGTTGGAAGTGGTGGTGGCCCACGCAGGCCTGGGTGTCCCCCCCAGTCCAGGAACGCTTAGTGAGTAATGTTTCACAAGATGCCGCTGTGTGCGCATCAGATCTCGCCCCACTTGTGCACAGGGTGCTGCCCTCTTGCTGCGCCACGTGCCTCAGGAGAGCGGGTGGAGAGTGGGGTGTTTGCTCTGCTGGGATGAGCGTCTGGGGAAGAGAATCAGTTTTTTATCCCGGGGAAATTCTCCAGTTGTTGAAACTGGTTGTTTCAGAGACTCTCCTAGAATTTTATGCAGGGGAGAGACAAAGGGCTGAATAAAACCCAAGCACCTTCCATGGTTACTTTCCATTTTCAACCAAGTTTATCAGGAAACGGTTCAAGCAAACTCTTGTTTAGAGCGTGGGTAGGTTGCTCCTCTCCCAAGGACTCGTCACGCCTCAAGAGGCTTTCAGCAAGCTGTTAACTCTTCGGTTGGCATCAGGCAGCTGGGAGAAGCCTGGCAGTGCCAGGCACTGCTGTGCCAGTAGCGCAGTCTGGATGTCTCCAGGAACACGCATTGGACGTGTTGATGGACTCTCTGCCAGGCGGAGCATTGGCCTTGGCTGAGAGTGCTTTGGGAAAGGGCTTGTGCCCTAGGAAGAGGGAAGAGAGCTGGTCCCCGGAGCAGGCTGGGAGCCTGTGACAGCCATAGGCCTTGTTGCTCCGTGGTATTTTAAGCAGCGCCTTTTCAAACCAAGCTCTGAGCTAAACCTGCAGTAAACGTGGTCGTCTCAGCAGGCTGTTTGCGTGCAAAAGGAGCAGGAGGTGGGAGGTGCCGCCGGCAGCCCCGGCTCAGGCACCCGCGCGGAGGGTGGGGTGAGTTTACCCACCTCGCTGTGCCGCCTCTGTCTGCGGGGAGTTAATGTTAGCTCTTCCCAGCATGACAGACTGGCTGGTGCCAGGCTAAACCATCCTGTTCCTGAACTCCCCGATGGGATCGCCACTTAATTGCAGAGCTTGGGAAAATGCTCTGTTTAAAATCCAGCGAAGTGGTTCCCGCGTTCGGCGGAGGGTCTGTCTCTCCCAGTGTCGTGAAGAGCTCTGATCCTTCCTCCACATCCAGGTATTGTGGAAGGAGAGGTATTTAGGGATTTTGCCGCACCAGCTGCTCCTTTCACTACCCAGGTGGATCTGGACACCCCCGAGGGACGCGATGCCTCCCTGCAGGGGTGGACAGAGGGCTCTGAGCTGTGCAGGGTCCACCTGTGTCCTTCCACCTCCTTTTCTCTGCTTGCCAGTGAATGTCCCACAGTGGGTACGTGTTTCTGGGTGAGCTGTCTTCCAAGATTCTGCTCCAGGCAGCAGTCTGGGGCCGTGGCTGTTGCTTTGTCTGATGTGCTCAGTGCTAAGGGTTGGCGTGACCCCCTGCCTTGGCCTCCCCCTCGCTTTTCGGGGACAGCACCGAGGTGGACATGAGTCTTGTCTTGTGCAAATCTGAGGAGTGTCTGAAACTGGCAGTCCAGGTTGCTGAGAGCGGAGCCACTGCAGTGACCTGGGAGCACTTGGGCTCAGTTTGCTCGACGCTGAAGGGACAAGCAGTGCGCTCTTGCTCTGGGACTCTGCAGCAGTCGATTCTCACTGTGAGACTTGGTCCTTGCCACCAACAAGAGAAGCTTCTAGGCCCTTCACATGGTTTTCCTGCTCTGTCACACCCTGTAGTGCCCGGCCGTAACGTGGTAAAGGCCTGAGCATAAGATCTCATCACAGCAGTGGAAGCCACAGCTATGTGGCTTTTCTCCTAAAATCGCATCTCTCTTCCTTAGGTGTGCCTCTGAGCTGCATCAGGGCTCAGGAATGCTTTCAGGACTTCACAGAAAGTAGGGATTCCTCCAACTGCAGATGAACAGCAAGGGACCAGAGGGATCCCGCTGTGAAGTGGTGGCACGAGCAGGGATGCTCCCCAGTTGTTGCTGGACACTCAGTTTTCCCCTGGGAATGGAGTATTCAGTCCTCAAGGCAGGCTGGTTGCAGAAGCCAAAGTGTAGCTTAGTGTTTAAAAGCTCCCAAATCTTCTTTGGACTTTTTCCTTTCATAAAGAGAAAAAACCAGGAAATCTTGCAAAAACATGCTAGGAGGTGACTCCTCCAGCTCCCAGGGATGGGGGATGGAGGAAGATGAAGTTGTCTTCCTGAAACAGGTAGCACTTTGCCCAATTTCACCACCGTGCCAAGAGGCAGGTGCTGATCTGTCCTGCCTCAGCTCAGCTGCCCCAGATTGAGACAAGTGTCCTCCCAGGTACAGAGGTGTCCAAAATCAAAAGTGATTTGTTTAAAAATAAAATTTAAAAAAAATTGGCATAAGGCATTTGTGGGAAGTCAGAAGGGGAATGACTTAGGCAGGAGTTCCTGGCTGCCAGAGCCATGCTTGGATCCCACCCCTCCATGTTCATGCTGGTCTTGGCATCCTGGGTGATACACAAACGTAGTGCCTGTCCCCATCCCAGTCTGGCGGCGCTGCTGGCCAGTTCCTTGCTGTACGAGCACAACTGGAGAGCTGGGCTGGGAGCTGGAGTGGGGCGGCTGCCCCAGCCCTCTGGTGCGTGGGGCTTGGGGGGAGCCCTGTGGGGGTTAGCGAGGGGCAGGTTTAGGTCATGCCGGTGGTTTGTCCTGTTCCCTCCTGGTCACTCCGTCCTGGTCCTTCACCCTGGGCTGGGCAGGGCACCGTGCCCCGACCAGCACATCCAAAGTGCTTGTTCCTCCCCCCTGCCAGCCTGCAGCTGGGGACGAGCGCCAGCCCAGCTCCTCCTAGGGCTTCCAAAGGCAGCCCTGGGCAGCACCCGGTGCCTGCAGCACCCCGAGCTCCCCCCTGCCCTGGTTGGGCAGCACCCCTGCCCGTCTGCTGCCTGCAGCCAGCCCGCCTCCGTGCCAGGGCTGGATGCTGCCTTCTGAAACACAAGGCAGGAGGAAGCTGGTGGCAGCGGGGGTGACCAGAGCGTGGCTGGT